AATCAACCTGTCCTAGTTCTCTGATTATCAGAAAATCGCCTGATAATCAGATCAAATATTGTCAAATTATCGTGACGATAGATCACAATAAACATGAATATTCTTCAAGTTTTAAATGATCCTCTTTTCCAAAATGGGATTTATATCTGGCGTATAAAATAATAGCTGTATGAAAGATCAAGATCGTTTCCTGATAGCATTTTTGATGGGCAAAGATATTTACCTTCTTATTAATCGATTAGTTAAAATCAAGTATGTAGACACATATCTTAACTCGATCTCCGTACAAACACCTTGGAGAACGTCTTTAAAAATTACCTACAAATATTTTGTACAATTCATGCTTAAGTATTCATGAATTCTGTGTTTATTCATTGTACGCTATGAAGATTAAATGCAAGTCACATCCTCTACCACGTAAAGTGTTCGTTAAGGACAAGATAGTAATTATAAAGTATTATTTCTTTGTTCAATCAGAAATATACCAGAATATATATGGAAGTTATTCTAAGGTCAGTTTTCCATCAAGGTCATTTGATATTGGGTTAAAATTTTATTAGTCCATTATTACTAGGTTCAAAAATAAAAGAGGAGATATTGAGGGTGCAATAAAAAAAACAAAAAAACAGACACAACCATGATAGAAAAAAAAATAATGAAAACCATGCATCAAGCCATTTTAAGCCTAGGAATACAGGAATACTTGAGATACCCATTTGAGGAAATTTGTATGAATATGTCATAGAGATTTGATCACCGCAGACTATCCCTAGGCACTATAGAACATTTCTTACATGGTCTATTTCGCTGGTAAGTTCATACATGTACCATGAATTTTACAATTAGACAGTTTCACTGTGTTAAATTTACATGTATCTGTACATCACAATTTTAGATCTTGTCCTGCACGTTTATGAATTTGTTGAGTCTCAGACTTCCTTTCTTTGTTAAATCAATGACTCCACAAATCAATTATGAAATTACTATGTAGGAAATCCCATGATAAAACTGCTATTTTGTTACAGTTTCTAGCTGTAGTAGACCCCTGTTTTAGGATATCAATCACTTGGTTCAGAGAATTTTTCCACAATATTTTTTATGAGGATTAGTACCAGTTTAGTAAAGGGATGGCAGAAACTTAAGAAGAAAAAAAATTGTCAAAATGTTATATGTGGTTGCACAATATTAACTCATTATTTTGGTAATAGCAAAAGAGCATCTGACGACAGGAGGTTTGATACTCGGCTGGTCAAACCAAAAACTTCTCCCCCAAGCTCATGGTAGTTTATGATTAAGAACCAGAGCAACGACTAGTATGAATAATGTTTATGGGTATGGTGAAATATCTGACCCAGTATGTCAAGAAAGTAGAAAACAGAGTTTATGTATATTTCATTAGCATGTTATCATCATGAATATGCATGTTATACATGTCACTGGACATTAAATGGCCATCAATCAGTCAATCAGTTTAAAGTATGACAGTGACAATGAGCTAAGGAACTTCCACAGTTCAACATGATAGAATTAATTTAAAAGTAAAACTTCTTTAAAAAGTTCACTGATAACCAACATGAAAGTTCTGCTTTTCTCCAAACACCAAAAGTATCTAAAAACAAGTAAGCTTGCCATGTGATACATTTAACACATAACAAAAAGAGCTTTGGAAAAAAATAATAAATTGGTGCATTCATAGATTTATACAAGCTTTAAGGGATGCAAGAAAATCAAATATAGAATTTGGAAGGAATCAATTACCGTATTTAAAAAAGGGTGCTTTAATTGCTGCTCTTCTTCATAATAAACTTTCTTATTATTTGAGGTCTTTAAAATGATTCAAAGACAAACTGATGATTTTTTTACGTGCCTACCTTTGATGAAGGAGATGTATACCATACAAGAGTAAGACAGCACCTCTCAACAGAACACGACAAAAAAAATTACATTTGGAGGTACAATACAATGTCGAACAATACACATGTGTCCGTAGAAATGTGTTAAGTTTTAGGTTGGGTCTTTGGAACCATAATTCACCTGATAACACTCGCAGCCATAGGATCCTGCAAAAACAAAATGAGTGTAACCTTATACTAATAGACTTTACTGGAAATATCCTTCATGTCCTGAATGGAAGCAATTTTTCTAAGAGTTGATTAGGTTCTTTATTGATTAACAAGAGAAACAAATCATTATTTGAAAATAAAAAAAAATATTTTCAGGTTTTTATTTCAACATTAATTTTGAAGAAACAGTAACATATATGATTACCAGGGTGTAAAGAAACTTGTTTAATTATTTATATTTAACCAGACTGAATGTAACGTGAATAATCTATACATCGTAGTTTGATTACACGCATTTCTTAAATTTTCCAAGCTATTTCTATTTTTGCCGTTATCTTTATACATTGTAAAAGCTCTTAGTTCGTGACATGAGGAAAGTTCATATTAACTCTAATTTTAATAGATCTAAAATCTTTTGCCATTTCACTGCACATTTAATGGAGAGGTACTAAGATTTTAACATTTAGACCGAAAAGAAATTATTGATCTTCTTAAAATAATCTTGAATTTTAAAGAGAATGATAAGATTTTGTCTGACCTCCCACTGTTAATTTATAGTATTTATAACAAATCAGCAGGATTTTGTCTTTGTAAATTAATTTTAAGCTGATTCCCTTCCCCTTTGATTGTAAAACACCAGAAATATAGAATAAGATGATCTTAAATCAATTTAAAATCGTTGGGATAAAAATAAAGAGCATTTTAAAATTTTACTTGATTTGATTTACATAATTTTTCAATTAGAATCTTATCCTTGATAGAATTTTTGGGAGGATATCCGTAATAATACACACAGTACCCTAATTTTATTGTTTAATGATCTATATACAAACAAAAATAAAAACCTGTCTGTCGAAGATTTTCCTCTATGTAGAACCATACTTTTACAATGAACAATTCTTGTTAAGAATTGAGGCAGAAATATTAAGTTTCATGTTTGAGTAATTTGGCATTATGGCGAGGTAATTTGGGCTGAGTGCTCGTTGACATGACAGGATTCATGTCCCCAAAGTTAATTCATGTTTTACACCATTCGAAAACTTGCTGATTTGTTAGAGAAGGTCTGTTAGTTTTCTGACCATATTTCACCATCAAGGTAATTAAGGCGAATCCAATCCACCTATGTCATCTTTAGTTTCTGCAATAAGTCAAAGTAGATGAAGTTTAACACGTAATGGGATATCAGATATGTTTTGATTAAGTTTAAGGCCTTTTATGACCAGTTGAATAATGTACTTTAACATTTATCAAATTTGTATTCAGAGTTTATACGGAGCTCAAGTTTTAGAAACATGCAAGTTATTAATTGAGATATATGGAACTTGAAAATAGAAATTTTTCATTTACTAACCAAAAGACACCCAAAAATAACTTGTAATATGTATCATTTACCTCTGAGTTGCCACCTATGTTACTTCTTTGTATGAGTTGTCTAACCTTCTTAGAACAATCCAACCATTTCATTGTCAATTTCAAAGCATGCTCAGTAAACATTTTCTGCAAAAAACAAGTTTTAGATAATAGAATATTTTTTTATAAACATAATTGTATCAATTTTTTGCATGAGCATGTTAGTGCTACCACATGGAAGTACTAACGGCACATGTTCTCATTAAAAAGGGGTCAATACCTCCGATTTTTAGCAGTTTCATTACTCTTTATGTAATAATGATACACTCTATTGTATAACAGAATGAGGGTTACTAGTTGTTATACACATTTTGGTTTACAAGAATATGATAATTGAAAACACTATAGAAATTCAAATGTTTGCACCTGGTATCAAGTTTTTTTTTTTTTATTTTTGGAGCACATGTTATGAAATATGAATATTTCATCAAGTATCCAACTTGGAGGTCATTATACCAGAGGAAGGCATTTGTAAGAGTTTTTAGTATACTTCAAGATCACACAGCTGTCGGTTAAAAAAAAGTTTCTATTTATTCGTCTTCTCTTTATGGGAGATATTTTTCAATTTATCTGTGACTGTGAAATTCACAGGTACAATTGTGTATATACGAAGTATGCACAGTCTGCAAATATTGGCCGTGAGTAAATGCTAATGAATTTATCGTTACAATAGCAAGACTTGGTACTTCACCAGAATGAAGAATTAATCTGAAAACATTAGCGACTTTTGAATTGCAAATCACAAACATTTAAGAGTATCCCTTACAAAATCTGTTGACAGAAGAAAACTTCAAATCCGGCTATTCATCCAACGGCACACTACACATGAATACCTTATATTTATATGCATTCTTAACACTTGTTGGTATAAATTTGTTCATTGATCCCAGGTCTAACAGGCACAATTTGTGTCAAACCCCCCTCATTATCTTCGCTGTGCTGGTTTTATTTTTATTTTAGTTTAATATAAGATGTTATTAATAGGCCATGAATAGGTTGTGAAAACCTGAGGGCCCTAAACTGTTTAAATCAAGCTACATATTAAAATGTAAGAGTCCTAGCTCACCTCACACATTTTAATAAAATGATAGGACTTTTTAAAATATTTACATTAAACAAACATTGATAGTCAATTTTATTTCATTATAACCGACAATTGAGCATAAAAGTCTGTCAGAGGCAAATAAGTCGTAGAATTTATGACAGCTATAATGCCTGGATGTGCAAGGTTGAAAAAGTCTATATAAAAAATTATCAGAATTATAATTTGGATCATTACGTCAACTTTAACGAGAATATGATAGTTTCTGATTATTTTTTTATGCATATCTTTTTTTGTTCAAGCAACTACGTGATTCATCTGTGCTATAACTGAGAGAAATCAAGAAAAAATTATTGAATATGGATTTCAACCTGATATGATGAACATAAAACTACGCTTCAAGAACTTAATTGATTAACGACCTTCATTTTGAATGCATTTTTCTAATTGATATTTTCATAGATATTTTTTTATTTCTGTTACAGCGACCTCCCTCAACGAATATGTTTAACCAAACAGATGATACCCAGTCCTCACGGTCGGGTGACACGCCCATAACCACTAGTCAGTCCAATACAAATTCCTCACAGATTGCAGATAATACAAGTGAGATAGGTAAGTTGATCTTAACATGCTAAGTTATCTCCCGGAATGTGGTTTCGAATATTTTTTGTACCTGCTACAAATTTTTTAAACAAATTTGGTCTGGTCATCTCAGGAATACCCAAAATTCTATAACGTCATTGCTTCAACTCATCCAGCTCCACAAGCCTGTCATGTGGTTTGCTTTTGTCCTGGTACCAGTTGCTCCACGTTAACCTCAAATGAAAGATTTTTGCATTAGACTCTTAGACCCTAAATCAACAAATTTTACATAAAGGACTCATAACTTTGAGGCCATTAACTCATGACTCTGGTTCCAACAACTTTCATGTGCTATGTGAAAAGTTCTCTATGTTAAATAGATGGGCAACTCTTGTCTCAGCAATCTTCATAAAAGTGCATTTTTCTTTGGGACAGTTCTTGACATTGGTCATAGCAAATAATTGAATCATCCACAAAAATATGTCTGCTGTCTAGGCCAGGTTGTGTATTGGTTTATATTGATTGGTTAAACATATGGCATTCCATGCAGCATGTTACTAACACGTTGAATTTGTTTTTACATTCATTAAATTTAATTTGAACCTGCATTAGAGCATAATTTGAGACCTTGATTAATATTTTTTTTTATAAATCTATCATGCAGAGTCATTTTAACTGCTTCAATGTTTTAATTTTTGATAACGTTTTAAAATTATCAGTGTTAAATGAAGTATGGTTTGCAGTTTTAGCAATTCTTGTAGTCTAATTAATTAAAACCAAGTTGGCCTCGAGTTTTGTTTAGGTTTTTGGTTCTGACAGATCATACTAATGGCCTAGCATTCTCAATCGAACATCATATCCAAATAGCTTTGCACTCTGTTTGAGTGGGTCATATTGAAATTAATTTTCGTAACTTCCTAAAAACATTTGCAGTGCCATGAAATGGGGAGGAATTCAGAATCTTAATAATCTCAGTTAATAAGAAAAAAATCATTAACTTAATTGGTAAATAGTAATTGGCCGTGGAAAGAATTGAAGACGCTCTCAGTGACAGCCGTCTTTAGTTTTATCTAGTTGGTAATAGTAATTCTGCTTTAAGTTGCAGACAGGTGCTAGAAATAGGTATTACCGAGGCACTTTTCCTCTCAAAACAATTTATACGTGGATCAAATTGAATCGGCCTCACATGTTTACAAGTAATATGTAGTGCATATTCACTAAGTAATGTTATATAATATGTAGCTAAATGTACCCACATGAAAAAGATAGCATTCTATTTCATCTTGCCACCCAAGATACTGGGTTAAAAGTCTTACTTGCTCATTTTCTCAATGGATTTTAAATGAAACCCACAACTTTTCATCTCCATTTTTCGGTAATGGGTAATTTTTTCTTATATATAACAAATGGGTTGGGAAAGGTGGTCTGTTCTATGTTTTTAGTGTAAAACTTTAAAATACTTCAAAATTTTGGTTCAACTTTATGAAGAAACGAAAAGTTTTTCTCCTGAAATCGACTTCCAGTTGTTTTATCTTTTCTTCTTAATATCTATCCAATCTATGAACAAGTGACCCGTTAGTCTGATACAACTACAATCTGGTATCGACATAAGGAAATTGTGTCATTAACCCCCAGAAAAGGGTATAGAATTCATTGATTGTGCCAAGATTTTCCAAATGAGTTTGCCGGGTTAGAACATAATTTCTTAAGAGATAATTAGAGAGGAATTAATCCAGGAGCTAATTAAATTTTGTCTGTAAGCTGTTGACATTGATCTTCAATATTAGCTTTTTACATATTAGACGATAACAATAGCCATTGTTAGTTCTAATTTTATTTCACCACTCAGTGATTTAATTTTCTCATTTAACTCCCTAGCTCTTTGAAATTAGACTTTCTATATTACAATACTGTTTAGTGAATATAAGAAATTCAATAGACGTTTCCACTCAATGGTTACAGAATAGCGATTTCTATCCCCAACTGGTAACAATTGTTTCTATTACAGCATATTCTTACTGCAGCAACCGTTTATGACGATTACATTCAAATTGGTGTATTACAACTTAATTTTCCTTTCGCCAAACATAGAAATTTGTCAGGGATATTTTTACATTGACTTGGTTAATGTCTTTATCGGTCCAGTTAGTCCGTTAATTGTGTTTTTTGTTGCGACGTTTTCTGGAAGAATGACCACATAGCATTATTGACGGTACCTCCTTATGCTTGGAGTATGTCCTGTACGAATTAAAGCTAATTTGGTATTGTGTGTAAATGCTTAATCTATAAAGATTGAGATCGGCAGGCGGAAATGTAAGCTGCAGGTCCACATTAACGGGGGGAAGTGAGCTGAAGAATGCCAATAAGTAGCAAACACAGCAGAGAAAAAGTAAATGTGCTATTTAATACAATCGGCAGATTGGAAATAAACATAATGATTTCTTGGCGTGTGATTAGAAAATGTTCAATATCGTCTCAACAATTGTAATAACATTGTCTTTTCTTTTGCAATAATGAAGGCGGCATATCTTTAATCAAATCATTTGGAAAAGATCTAGATTTGTTAATTTGTTTGGTATTATAACAGGGGGCACATGTTTCATTCCGAGTTTAGAATCCTAATAATAGCCGACTATTAAACCTCTGTGTTAAGCCAGGGGTAGATATGAATGATATCAGATTGAATAGGCTACGATTTTTTGCTTTATTTAACTATTACATATTTGAAAAGGTTCATAAATTGAAGACCCTTACTTTGGTGACACTGCCCATCCTTCTTTTGACTTTATATGTATGGTGTCATTGTTCGTGTGTAATCATCTACGTACTGAGCTCTATCTGATATCTATCTGTAAAAAATAATAAAGTATTTCACGACCCAGAACCTAACACCGTTCTCAATTAATTAGAATATTTCTCAATAAGAGATCCGAGGTCTTTTCGGTGACGGAAAATTTTAATATTCCTTTTATGAATTAAGTGAAAATAACTTGTGTTCAATTAATTCTACCCCATTATGTTTCAAATTATCCTTGAACTAGCTAAAAAAAGGGTATTTTGCTTTTATGGATATTTAAAAGAGTTCATTAAATATGGAGTCTGTTGGTCGTTTATCATTCATACTGAACCTTATTGTATTTCTTCAGAATTGTCTAACTATATCAATTAAGGTTATAGCCATCCATATTATTATACTTTTTCGGAAAAATCTTTGTCCAAATTTTTTGAAGTTGTACCTCCCAAGTTGTGGGAATATGCAGGGTCTGTCATAAGAGATCTATCTTTGTTCATCGAAGGCTTTAGACTACTCAAAATTTTGGCGAGCCTGTGAATAAGTCCAGTATGAGATACCACAAGTGTCATTTAGATCCTTATTCCCTTTAAAATCGATTAGAGATTTTATAAAATCGGTTGTAATAGACATCTAAGAAAGTCCAAAAATTTAGTTTGTCAAGATGCCCATTTTATATGATAAAGCGCTTTTTATCTTTTTCTAAGGCTTAAATGGATTTATATTTAGATTAAGCTTTTCTCGGCCGTAGGATTAAAGACTACATGATTGTTATTTCTTCGAGTTTTTGTCATGTTTACTTTAGGTTTTGATTTCCATCGTCCTTTCCATAGATAAACGTCATCATATTTCTGCTGGCTTTGAAGTTGTAACCGTGGCAATGGAATTTCAGTCCTGTCCAATTGTTTTGGAGAAGGAAAGGATCATAATACCATTTTTGTCTACGTTATTAAGGGTGGGATATATCCATTGTGCATTAAATGCATAACAGCTAATAATTTCATATTTTGATAGCTAAGAAAATAAATATATCTGTCAATGTGAACGATTATGTGATAATAAGGCTAATATTTGCATGCACTAGCCTACGGGACAGGGTTTATTCTATTATTAAACTCAAGATATCTGTACTTAGGCAGTGAACAATATTCAACAAATAGTATAATAATACATGACTAAAGTTATAAACAAAAATTTATTGATATATTACTACATTTGCACACTTATGTTTTGTTTAAAATGTTTTGTTCAGTTGCTGAGTTGCTGTCTCATATTACTACATTTGCACACTTATGTTTTGTTTAAAATATTTTGTTCAGTTGTTGAGTTGCTGTCTCATGGATGTTTTAAACTTATCTTTACAAATAGTCGGAATATGTTGGTCTTGAAATTCATATGTTAGTTATACCCTCCATCCAATCTAATCTTGAAATCTAGGCCTGGATACTCATTGTGATAGTTACACCTAGGAGTCTATGTTCCTTTCCTATTGATGTAAAGTATGTTCTCTCACGCTTCTCATTCAGAAATAGGGGTATTTAGTAGTAAACTTGTAATTTCCATTCATAATTTTGTCTGCATATTTATGCATGCTGATCATACAAAAACAGCTGTGATCTGGTTCCTGTGTCTGAAGGAATCTTCTACTATTACTATGCTTTGTAGTAAAATTTACACCTTTATACAGTTGTTAACCAACAGGACTATAAAACATTAATAATATTCAACTTTTATATTGAATAAAATGTTCAATTCATAATACTTCATTCACGACTTAAAAAATCTCACATTTATGTATAGAAATGGAAAATTTAATTTCTGGACTATTAAAGTGTCTTCAGTGGATGGGTTCTTTGTTTGTTTTCTGCTAATGTTTGACATTTTTATGCCATATTATCTCTTTTTGTCATCAAATCAGAAAATAATGTAAAAACATTTTAACCTTCCACCCCATGATTCTTAATCCAACTTTGACAAATAGCAAATATTTGAAAATGTAATTCTTTTGGCTATGGAAGTTAAATCTCCTCATTCATATTCATGGCAGTCACACATTTTAAAGCCAGTTAAGGGATTTTTGTTAAGTTCGTCTTTTTTAGTATGCACACTTTCAACGCCATAAAAGCAGGATTTAGTTGGCTATTCAATGAAATGTTTGTGTATAAAATAAAATTAATGCCCAAGTGAAAACTAACATTGCTTGTTACTCAATGGTAAATGGGTCTGAAATTGCCCAAGA